CAGACAAGCCAAGTCTCACTCAGCTGTGGCAAGACATTTCTCGGCTTTTGTACAAAACGAAGGAACATCACCGTGTTCACAAAAGCCAGAATCTGATATTGCCCAATCAGGTCAATTCCCTCCTAGTTTTTGTGGACCTTCATAACGGAATATTCTAAAGTAGAGTTAAAAAACGCCGGTCACGGTAGCCGAGCGGTCTAAGGCGTGCAGTGTCTTCGCTCGCTCGGAAGCCGGGATCGTGGGTTCTAATCCCACTCAGGGCATGGATGGTTGTGTGCGTCTTTCTGTGTTTGTGTACAGGTAGAGGCCTTGCGACGAGCTGATCACCCGCCCGAGGAGTCCTACCGAATATGTAAGATCTAGAAAAACCGAAGGGAACGGAGAAGTTCATGGAGGTAGGCCTAGGCCCACTGGGGCTGTAGTGCCAGGGGGGGGGGGAAGCTCAAAAACAATGGAGATAAGATGTTGCCTAGTTTCAGACCATTCTGGGTAGGAAATGGATCAGATGGATGTTTATCTAAAGCAACTTCACCTAAAGTGATCAAATCAATGAAGATGATATCGACAGGGCATGTAGCAGGCACGGGGGAAGAAAAGGAATGCATATAGCATTTTGGTGGGAAAATCAAAATGAAAAAGATTACTAGGAAGACTCAGATATACGTGGGAAGTTAATTTTAAAATGTATCTCAGAAAACTAGGACGCGGTGATATGAAATTGATCTATGTGGCCCAGGATAGGGACCAGTTGATGGTTCTTGCGAACATGGTACTGAGTCTTCGGGTTCCAAAAAAGTTGGGAAATTCTTGGGTAGTTGAACGACTGGCAACTTCTATAGAAGAACCCAGCTTTATGGACTTAGTCAGTTATACTAGTAGCAATTGCTCTGTATGTATCCTGGGATACCTACTTCCGCGAGAATACTGTTTAGTACTTTTGACGTACCTAGTAATTCCTATCTTAGAAGTACGAGTATACGCATTTTAACTAACAGCTTATCTTCCTGTTAAGGTCTGCTAAAATATTCATGTCATGTAAAGATGAGGTACCAGTGAACTTACTGAAGGATGTAAGATTTGAGGCTTTCACGGCGGTGACTATGAAGAAAGCAGTCTTCTGGGATTTGGCACCGTGTATATGTGGTGTTAACTGACGTTTCGGAGGAACGTATCGCCTCCATCTACTTTTACCGATTCTCACGGTCTCTTCGCTTGCGGATTCTTATATTTTTCCTTCTACCCTGAAGACGAAGGCGATATGTACCTCCGAAACGTCGGTTAACATCACATATACAAGGTGCCAAATCCCAGAAGCCCGCTTTTTTCCTCACTGAAGGATAATCGAAATATTCATTTATGAGTATTAAGAAGTCAGCCATTTCAGATTAGTCAACCTAGTGCGTTTTGAGCCATTTTGCCAATGTCGAATGACATGGACTGATTAATTAGGGAAACAGATATCTTGATAAGCTGATAATAGTTAAATATCTCAGGAAATTCCCTGAACCCTATGGACTGGAAGATTCACTACTTTGTTAACAAGAGCTGGCCTCTGATCCATACCCGAGCCAGTCCTCACCCTCACACCCCGTTCCAATGACATCGGTTTAATATTGTGCGTCATATCTCGGACGGTACTTGTACTCGTAAGATACACTATTATCACTTATTTGCCTTCTGCTATCACAAGCAAAGCACGTTTCAACGCACAAGTTCTGAATACTTATGATATGCATATGGCATGGAAAGCCAACGTGTCATAAATCTACGGTCTCAATAAAAATTCTAACGTAATCCAAATTAATCAGAATAATTAAATTCCGTCCTTCTGTCAGTTAAACTTTCATCATCGCAGCAAATTCTTATCCTAAAACCAGTGAATATGTTCTCCGTCTCCTTGATAATGCGATTTGAAATTGTTCTTACAGAACTACAGCTTTACATCAAGTTTCCTCCAGCATAATGACGCATAAATAGCTTGTGGTTAAAGCACATGACCCCCCTCCCCAAACCTAGCGTATTCTCTTTTCATATTTCACTGGTTCACGAAATATAAAACGTAAGAAAAGTAAAGTTTTCCCTGTGCTTAATTAGTTTAACACTATGCCATGAAGACATATGGGGTACTGGAAGTATAGCTCCACCACAACATGAAGGTAAGTGGTCAGCTTCACGCCCCTTTCGGTTTACCCCAGTGGAAAGAACCGCCGGTACCCACAGGATAGAAGGCTGGGTGGATCCCAGAGCCGATCGCTATGGAGAAGACAAAAATTTTGCACTGCCGGGAATCGAACCAGGTCCATCTAGTCTGTCGCTATACCGAATGAGCTACCACTACTCCCAAGAAATGTAAAGAATGTATAATTAAATATTTAGATATTTTCTTAATATTTTTGTCTGTGATTTGAATCTCGGTGAACTCATGACAAGTAGAAGGTCACTCCCGTGCACTGCCGGAAAAATCCTCAAGAAACAACTTTAAATATGCGTCTAATTCTTCTTCCCAGGTTCGTACTAACTCGTTTTCATAATCGTTCAGATCCTGAAGGTATATAATCTGTACAAGGCCGCGCTATAGCTCAGGCGGTTACTCGCTGGCTTCCCACTACGGGGGCGCGAGCTCGATCCCGAGTCTGGTCAAGTGGGATCTGTGGTGGACAAAGTGACGCTGGGGCGGATTTTCTCCCAGCACTTGGATTTCCCCTGGCAATCTTCATTCCACCAAATTCTCCATCATCATAATCACCCGGGGCAGGCTGCAATAGGCCAATCAGTGGCCGCCGTGCTGAGTGGACCCAGTTGGACTCCACCCCCTTCTAAGTGAATTAAAAATTATATAATCTGTACAACATTATTCACTCGTCCTTCACTTTATTACCTCAAACACAGTGGCACTCATTATGCTGCCTGTTGTTCAAGTAGAATTCTTGTACAGAGCTGTCAGGGTTCTCTAAGTCATTTCTTCTGGGAGGTCCGTCAGGTAGTGCGTTTACAAGAAAAAACTACACTCGTCATTAAACCAATCATTACGCTCATGAGCTAAATTAATTAGGTCACTTTCTGTATTAATATCCGTCTGAGAGATAACTGTCAATAAGCTGAAATACATCACACACTGACACAGGATTAGGCTTAACGTGCATTTAGATAACCTTCTTGTTATTTCGAAACAACGAATGAGCAGATATGTTCTAAAAACATGGGGAAATTTCCAGCAGTCATTGTGAAATTTAATTAATCTTTGTGCTTCACGTTAAACTCTCTCATTTAAGTACCAGTCGTCAGTTTTCTAGCAAGAGTTTTACTGTGAAATAGTAAAGCTATCCCTGTAACATTCCGTCCAGGCCCAAAGGGTTGTGAGACGTTGAGGCTCCCACATTTTCTAGACAATCAGCTCACAGATGGCGTGAGGCTGTCAGCCTTACGCGCCGGCTGCCCTTTACCCCCAGGAAAATTCCTGATAATCATTTCTCTTAGAGGCTGAGTCGACCCCAAGACCATAGTGCGGCTGGAAGGATTAGGTAAATTGAAATAAATCCAACTCATAAGGATTCGATCCCGCGACATTCCAGCTTGTAGCATAGTGCCTCAACCAACTACGCTACCAGGTGTATCCTACTATGAAATAGTACTTTATAAAATACACGAATGAAATATGTAAGCGCCTTCATTCTCGTGTTACGTTTGTGTAATAAACTTTGTATTTTCTTTTGCATTCTTCAGTGAAATTTCCATAGTCACAAGCGTACTTTACGGTTCGACCTAGTGCATTGGAAATGTCACTGGTCCTCACTGGATTCGTAATAAGCACCTCTAGTATACAAACTACGCGTTTTTCTGCTAGAATAAAGCACAATAGACCACTGTAGGTCATGGTGCAAGGGCCCAGGAGGCCTACCCCTTATACATTCATTCATTCTCCTAGAATAAGCACAAAACTTTTCATGCTCTCAACTAATTATTCTGCACATGGTTTCTTTACCTTTGTCTTCGTACATTTAAATATACAAATAATTTTACCTTATTATACAAACAATCGAAGGCATATAATTAGTGCACGTTATAATAATTATTATGAATATTGTGATTACAATTTTCCTGAGTCTTGCATAGGTCTATACCATATATTCGGCAAGCATTGTTGGAGAGACCAAATACAGGAAGGCAAGTTGTTAGGAAACCACCACTTGATAGATCAAGGTACAGATGGGAGATAAAATTATAATAAAAATTGGGAACTTGGTTTTAAGGATGTGAACCAATTGTGTACGTACTGAATCTGACGAAGGGCTTTTGTGGCTGACGATACTGAATTTATTGAAGATTAAAATTTTATATACGAATGATTTTTGCACGACACATCCGCAATATGCTTTAATAAACCTATTAGCAAGAAATACCTGAACAAGACGGAAACCGTTCATCACAGCCTTGCACATGCTCAAGTTACAAGTGTCAGAATGTTACACCTCAGTTTGGAAGAGCATGCAGGGTCTTGTAATGGCATCGTCCTTATTAAATATATCTTCCTTGAATGATGAATAATGAAGTCATTAAGAAAAAGCGGACCAATCATCTCAGTCATCATTGCATCACATGAAAGTAATGTGCCTTCTTTCGTCTTGCACAGGTAAAAATTATGTTTTATCTCAAACCAATTTAAGTCTGACATTACAACGTTCAGTAGCAGCGTATTTATCTTGCGGTTGTGTTTTCACAATGAATCACTCTTATATCGCACGATGAGAAGATCAAAGTCTCTGAAATACTTCGGTTCTTTGTGTGATTGATGACAAGTTCTCTGTACCAACATCCATCAATTATTTTATTTTTATATGCAACTCTGATATACAAGTTATAAATAACCTAGCAATCAATCAATGTAAATATTTCACTTACGAAAGGACACTCTCCTCATTCTCCAGTTAGAGAAACTCATTGCTCACTTATAAGCATTCCGAATTTTTCTGCGGCATTTAAAAGTCGTTGATAATATTTACCTGTTGGTTTGGTAAATCGTAGGTTCGCGCATGGCTGGACTCTGCAGGCGACGTGGGGGAGTGGATATTGGTTGGGCCGTAGTCTCGGGTATATAGCTGCAAGAGAAACATCTAATCATTTCGTTGAATATTAATTCCTCACCATTTTCCTAAAATAATGCAATTTTAAGGCAAAAATATTTTAAAAGATGAACAAAAATTCATTTCCATAGTTCACTAAATGAGCGAAAGGAGATGACTATTTCTCGATTCGGGCTAAATTAGAAAGCGGATGTTTGTTCGACGTAAGTGGAATATAATAGCAACATGGCTAAGCTAGGACACTACCGACTCTTATACTTAGAGCACAGCTCCGTCCACTCTGGACTCGAGTGTACTGAATATGATTGCAGTANTTTAAAAAAATTATATTCATAATTAGTAATACAGGGTGTAATACTCCTGAAATAATATTCCAAGAAAATTATTTTTTCTATAATTTCTGTCTGAAAATTGTGCTGCGGCCTATACACGCACGCGGCCTATACATGCGTAAATACGGTAATAGCAACATGGCTAAGCTAGGACACTACCGACTCTTGTACTTAGAGCACAGCTCCGTCCACTATGGACTCGAGTGTACTGAATATGATTGCAGTACGAGTCCAAGCAACACTGCAACCAACTGTCGATCCATCTGTCTGTCTTGAAGTTGAGCCTCCCTTGGGGCTCATGACCAAATTCTTCAGTCTGTTTAGGCATGTGCAATGTTTGCCATCTTGGGCTGTCTTCTCTGACGAGAGAACGGATCTGTCCTCTGCCAAGTCTCACTATATACATTATCATATTAACAGATGTAGGCAAATCTATAAGAGCCGGTAGCGCACAGTCGATATAGCGACTGGCTATGGGATGCATGACCCGAGGGGTCGAAGTTCCGAGTCCCGGTAGGGTAAAAACTTCTCACTTTTCCACAACTTCCAGACCGGCCCTAGGGTTCACCAAACCTCCTATCCAAAGAGTATGGGGGGCTCTTCCCCGGGGCGGGGCGGGGCGTGAAGCTGACCACTCACCTCCAACTAGTGACGAGGTGAAGAAAACGTGGATATATACATCCACTCCCCCATACGTCTTCATGGCGCAGTACTAAATTAGTTAAGCACAGGGAAAAATTTACTTTTATGCAACTCTATAAATAACTAAGTAATAGGTGTATATATACATAATTACATATATACAAAGTAGCCGGAATAGCGCAGTCGGTATAACGACTGGCTACGGGCTGGACGACCGAAGGGGTCGGAGTTCGAGCCCAGGTGGAGGCAAAAATTTTCACTTCTCCACGTGGCCCACACCGGCTCTGGGGTCCACCTAACCTCCTATCCAATGGGTACCAGGGTCTCTTTCCCCGGGGGTAAAGCAGCAGGGGCGTGAAGCTGACCCATTCACCTCCAGTTAGTGCCTAGGTCAAGAAAATGTGGACCTACACAGACACTCCCCCATACGCCTGCATGGTGTAGTGCTTGGTTAGTTAAGCACAGGGGACAACTTTATCTTTTACGTACATACGTGTATAACGTGTAACGTGCGAGGCCAGAATTTGCATAGCAGATTATGCCTTATCTTAAGCAGCTTACACTACAATAGGAGCTTAGTCACTTGAACGCTCTTAAGCTTTACCTCCGCAGTCATTTTGATGGCAGCTTAGTGTAACATATACGTTACGGAAAAGTAAAATAATTGATAATTATGAATAATAACCAGTAATTATATACAATAGTAAAACATAATAAATTACACTTCATGATATAGTAACATTGTAACATTAGCTTTCGTGCAAGAATTCTTTCGAAAGACTGAACAAAGCAGGTATAGAGCAGGGTTATCAACCTATGAGTTTCGAAGGATAGTACATATTGGAAAGCAATAGATAAATGTAGGACTTTATTACAGTTACCAATGGACGTTGGTAATTATGAATAGTAACGGGTAATTATTTATAATTTCCGGCAAAAGTGATTCTTGTAACGACATTTATTTTATTTACTATTGTTTTTGGTAATTTTTTTAATTCATCCATTCATTCATCAATGACTCTAAAGCCCTTTGTTCGGCCCTGGCCTCTTCACGTTCTTAATCCTATACACAGTAGGTAGGACTGCTTGGACAGGGGATCAGCCCGTCTCAAGGCCGTTACATACACACAGAACAACATAAACACAGAATAAACGCACACAGACACCCATTACTCGATTGGGATTCGAACCCACGACCCCAGTGTTCATCATTTGATTTGTATAATATTCTGCCTGTAATGCAACAAATGCAATTCTTTCTTAAAAGACACTAAAATATATTTAACTCACTAAACGTGTTGTTAAATATTTTAAATGTTATTAACTATGTACATTTGATGTCACTGCTACATGTTTCGGCCACATATGGGCCATCATCAAGCCATATTTTTTATTTGGGGAGACCACTGCACTGTACACTTTACCCTAGAACTCTTAGGCAAGTCGTCGTCGTCGTCGTCGTCGTCGTTGTTATTGTTGTTGTTCTTGTTGTTGCCGTTAATTCGCTTGATAGGATATTTTCATCCTAACTTTTATAGTGGCCGTTTCAGTGTTCCTTTTTAGTGTTTCGTTCACTTTAGTTATGTGTCTTTAGCACACTTTGTTCCTTGTACTCCTTTTACAGCGTTCATACCTTAGACCGCGCCGCCACTGTGAAGAGTTATCTGTCTAATTACCGATTATTATTTATAATTTTATGTTTGCTCTGATTTACCGTAACATATACACTGCTTCGAAATCTGTCTGACCTTCTGCAAAATTCCATAGTGTTATTTTTACAAAGGCACTAGTCGTAGACTGATTCTCCACTGGTGTTCCGGGAAACCTATATGTGTAGACACTGATCTGTCTGTTACCTATCACGGATAGCAGGCTATATGCAGTATGTCAATACCTTGTTTACGAACATATTCCATAATGGCAAATATATCTTGTTTGGAATTATTACCCCAATGGAATTAGACCATTTACACCATACACGAAATTCCATACTCTCAACAGCGTGTTAATAAAGTCATGCATTGATCTTGTACACTATAATACACGTTAATAAGAATATAAATCATGCACACTCGTATAGAGTTGAAATTACTCCTATACTTCAGCATATAATTATGCACTAGATCATGAAGGTATATGGGGCAGTGGTACATAATTAATGCCTCTGTTTAGCAGCAACGGAAAGATAAGTTTTCAGATAACACACCTTAAGGAAATCTTTTCTTCGGGAATAAAGTGACTCATAAGCGCGCCCCTGTTGTGTTCTTTTATGATATTTGGAACATGTGAGCTTTGCTACCTGAAAGTTAGTTAAACAGGCCAATAAATAATTTTATTTTATCCTTCCATGGCACTTTCATTATTGTAAGACAGAGGTATGGTCTCCAACAGATGAATGATGCTATCAAATCATTTCTGTATTAGATTCTTTCTTGAATAAAGATAAAAAATCGATAAAGTGTCATTTTTATATAGAGAGTTTCATAGAGTGGCTTTTCGTTCCTCGGAGTGATAAAATCACATTTCGTATCCACATAAACCGAAGAAGGCTTTAAGGTGCGACATATAACTCTAGAAATGGTACTCAAAATTGTATATTACGTATTTCAGTACGAATGGTAGGCTATAGCAATAATTTTTCAGTTTACTTCAAGGTTTCTGATAACTGTCTCTTTATTATAATAATATGTTTACAATTGCCCATTTTCTACTGGCTCTACTCCCGAAACGTCGTATAAAATATGGGCTTATTTCAGATAATAAATTATGTTCAGCATAATACAGATACAATTTTACTTTTATCTACGCGATACAGCGTGTGGCACTTTGGTACCGATGTTATGAGCATACAGTGACCAATGATAACATTTTATTTTCCGCTCCATTCAACTTATTTCAATTTTCCGAATCAAACAAAAGGAAAAGAAGCAATACGTAGAACTAATATACTGCTAATGAAGATTATGAACAAGATGTATGAATGTAAGATTTTATGTTCTCAGAACGGTGGTTATGAAGAGTCCTGTCTTCTCGGATATAACGCCATTTGAGCTTTACTTGCTACCTGCTTCGCGCTGAGTTCTTGCTTGGTATATTCTTCGACCCTTCATTTGGAAGCGACATATTCCCCCGAAACGTCAGAAGACTTTCAACCTAGTACACGGCATTATATCTCAGAAGACAGAACTCTTCAATATGTATGAAAATAATAATTTTGGGGTTTCAATTTTGCGTGTAGTTCCTCCCAGTTTCTCTGTTAAACTTCATTACTTTCCATGGTGGTTGACTTCGTCATAAAAAAGGTAATAGTATTTCTCATGTGACCAAGATAAAACTTTCGAATGCAGAATTTTATGGTAATTATTGCTTATTTTTGAGAAAAGCCGTTGTACAACGGCAATATATTATCATTCCTTGTAGCTAGATATCGCTGATGATGAAGACTGGTTAGCACAGTAGCAAGCTAGGCAGACAGGCCTCCCTTTAGTTGATATTGATGTGACTTACTCGTGTGAAGGGAAACGAACGACAGTTCCCTGCCTGTCGCATACAACACTGCCCTCTACGTTCTCGCTGTCGCTGTACATAACGGAACACAGCTGCCTGGCGTGACTTTCATTACATTGTCCTCACAGCACATGTCAATCTTCTCTATGTAAAACGTGTTTACGTAACCGCGTCACTTTCTCACAATTCACTGAGAACCACATTTTCGCCACATGAATTAA